TTCATTAAAAGACACTCTATTTTTGTAGTAATAACGAAAATAAGTTACCCGACAGTATTTTTATTCCGACTGGTATAGCACGCGTACGTGGCGCACAATACGGAAAGGAAGTTAATTACTCCTCGCTCCCATTTCGATTTTTTGAATAGCCAGCCGCTCAACAAAAGGAGAGAAAAGACATAACGTCGCTGGGGGGGAAAAAATAGGTTGCGCCGTGAAGGGCCTGTTTTGAAATATTTTACTACTGTTGCTACTCTGCCGCAGGAATTTTTTGAACCTTGGATATTTTTTTTCTTTCTTTTTTAATTTCGAATTTTTTTTTTTCTTTTTTTTTAAGGTTTTTAATAAACGCGCATTTCGCTTTCCTTCCTTCTTTTCTCCCTCCCGATCTTCGTTGTCTTCGATGGATATTTTATAAATATAAATAAACTAGGATTTCAAATTAATTTTAAAACTTGTAATTACGATAACACACACTTTTGCGAGCCTTTGTTTTCGAGAGATCTTATTTTTTAATTAACTTGCCAATTATTCAAATTCTTGTATCGTTTAAATTTAATATTTCAGGATCTTTTAGAGATGAAAAACTTTTGGATTTTTTTTACATCTGTCGATTTTAATATATATTTTTAAAAATGTATTTTTTGAATTTTTTTTTTTAATTACAATTTTTTCGAAATTTTTTTACGCGTCATTTCTTTTTTTCCGAAGGAGTCGTTTGATTCGATTTTAAAAAAAATTATTTCATTTTTATAAAAAACGATCAATTTTATGAAAGTGAAATAATTGTTTATTTACATGGTAGATTAATTTCAGAAAAAAAAATTCACGTAAAAAAGAATGCACATAAAAATCAGAAAAATGATTCATATATGAAAATTCGAACAATAAGTTATTTTTCAAATATATTTAATTTTAATGGATATACTTTTTACTCTAAATATTTATATTAAAATTCATACATACATACGTAACTTCATTTCCTAAAATTCAAATTAAAATGAATATACACGAGTGTAAAATTCTAGAATTATTACGAAAATATTCTTTTCAACAGAAAAGTTTTTAATTTGATTTAATTTAATTTCTTACGTAATTTCATTTAATCTCAATGAGTCTACGCCATTGGAGACAAAGATACAAATTTTTCAAACGGAAGAAAAGGAGGTGAAACATTTTCAAGCCAATGAATAATGCTTATTCCAATATTCAACAGAGATCTCGAGACACTCTTCATCGAAGTTTCGAAAGTATTATCCCATCGATTGTGGGTTTTCAGCTTTTTTTGGAACAAAAGAGTCGAGCGAGGAACGGTTGATTATAACGAGCGATTAAATTTTTCATTATCGAAGAAATTCTGCAACGTCAGAAATAAGTAATAATCAGCAGATCGCTCGAGTGCCGCGTCTTCTTGTTTTCCTATCCAACATTGAATTTCAATCTCAACAAAAGTCAAAGCTATTTTTCGATATCCAAATCAATATCCAATCGATGTATCGAGAAAAATTACACACAAAATATTAATAAGTTCGTGAAACATTTTTGTGAAAGCTCAATTCTAGAAATCAAAGATTTATTTATTAAGTAGATTGTAAATTTTTACACATATTTTTCTTCTGATATTAATTATATAATTAAATATTATAAACAAATTTAACCATAACATATTTTAAATAAAAGCTTCTGATCACAATACGATATTAAAAATTGGAAAAAATTTTGAATAGTTTATCTGTCACATGAAAAGAATAATTTCTATCATATGGATTTTTCAGATCCATGAGATTGTCGTTAATTTATATATTTAAATAAATTTTAGTTACATGTTATTGAAATTTTGTATCATTACCAAATTATATTTTTCTTGGCTCAACTCTAAGCTAAACACTCCTTTCTTATGCGAAAAATTTGAATTTCTAATATATTATAAATGATATTCTATTATATATTCTATTTATAGAACACTTACATTATCACACTTGCAATAACGATATTATTCCACACTCTAAACCCACAAATATATTAACACACACTATGTATATACATATCAATCGAATTCGAGTTTCCAACAAGTCTTCATACACTTTTTCTCCCTTTAATATTTTCGTTTCCCGCATCTTCTTCTCGTTTGATCACTTTCGAAACGTTCCAATGTTTCAATATTAAAATAAAAGTATTCCCGCGGAGCGTCGAGAAAATTGCAATTCCGAAACATGTCTGCGTCGCATCTCATTGATGGCAATGGACAAAGCTCTCCAAACTTATATTTATTCGCCGTCTGGTTTTTTCTTTCTACGCTCGAGGAGAATCTCGCTTGGACCAAAGCATTGTACTGTTTCAATCTTAAAGCGATGCGCGAGTCAGAATACAGAGCCCTCTCTGTATTTATACATGAATTACGCGCGATTATTTTAAAAGACTACCGTCTCCAGACAGACGTCTTTAATCTGTGCGATGTGCTCTTCCAAATATGGAAGATGTTCTTTTTGTTTAGTGTTAAATCAGAAACACGCTCGAGATTAAATTTATTTAATAAAAATTAGTAACTAGATTTAGATCTTTTGTTTAGAAACTGAATTAATAATACGTAGTATTAAGTATTAACTTTTTCAGTATTTTATTTTTTATTTCTTTAAAAGTGCATTTTATTATATTCTTGAAATGATTTATTGAATAAGATATGAACATTTATATACGTGTCATAAAGTAAGATAATATTAATAAGGAGGTTAGGTTTATAATACCTTTGTAAGTTTCTTTAAATATTACAAATATATACTATTATCACAGCTTTATTTTATTAATTTTCACATTGTAATGCAACAAGGAAAAATTAAGATTAAAATTTCGTGCATATCAGCAATATATTACGTCATATACATACAATTATTTACTTTTATTTATAAAATACTTTAATTCTTGTATAAAAATGCCAATTTACATTTACACTAGTTCATTATGTTCTGTCTAAGTTATCAGTTAATGACCAACATTATCGATAACAGCAACAAAATTTTCATTATTAAACATAACCAAAAAATATTTTACTAGTATCTTCACACGAAAACATTATAAAATTTATATCTGCATACTTTTCGTTTTCCCAAATGTCTCTGTACGAACTCGAATATCCAATCATTCACAGATTCAATATCAATCGCGGAAGAAAAATAAAGAAAAGAAGGTAAAACTAGCCATCGATAGGCAAAGAAAGACAGGTCTCTCTTTGGTTTAAAGTTTGTCGGCAGAATTACCAATAAGGAGAGAAGGATCGCCGACGAAAAATCGGAGAGTTAATTTTCCCGGTAGGTTCATGGCTGTGCAAAATGGAATGAATGTCAGGAAAAAGGGTGGCTCTGGTTCAATTATTACGGAACGATAGAAACGGATTATCACGCTCGATTTCGCCGTTTCTGTATTAAGCGACAAGTCGGTGGCGAGCCGGCGCTGCGTCCGACAACCGTGTAATTCGCCTACCTCGAAAAATCATCTCGGTGGAAAAAATGTCGTGGCTCCCCCGGCCCGGAAAAACGAAGGAACAAGAGGGAAAAGTTTCGTTTCCCCCATTTTATTTTCGTTGTTTCACGGAGTCATAAAAAGGTCTACGTATCGATGCTGCTACTGCTCGCAGAAATGCGATACTGTAACATGGTAGCTTACCAGAGTATGAAGCGAGACAGGTGATTCGAATGTTTCGAAAGACATTAGAAAATTATATTGCAAGACTATGTTGCAGTTAAGGGAAGGACAGTTTTATTTTAGGAAAATTAAAAAGAACCTTTTAAAATTATTACTTCGACTTAAGAGAAAAATATTAATTAAAGAAATATTTTTTCTTTTTCTTTTTTTTTTTTTTTTAGATATAATCTATTTAATTAGTAAGTCAGTATTTAAATTTTTGATGAATTTTTAAAGTGTAAATTAATGATTATCTTATGTTGGCATTGAACAATGAAATATTCAATTTATGGATTATTCTTTTGTTAATGAAAAATGGAAAAAAATGTAGATAGATATTAATTACCTATTCTGTTATTCTGTATTGCGTAAAACAATAATGAAAATGTTATCAGAATCTGAAATAATTAGTTAATTTTTCTCTGATCTTCATAAAATTTGCATCAAACAATGCAAAAAAATATATATACATTTATATTTTAACAATATTGTATATACTAACTTAAAACTTTAATGAAGCTGCTCTCCTCTTGTTACAAGGCTTTTAATTGAAACACTTAATTGTAACAAATAGAAAATAAATAATTAAAAAAAGATTTTATATTATAAATAGTATAAATTAAATGTCGAAAATATTTATAAGCGATTAAGTAGACAACTATTAAGTACTGTGTGAAAATATGTATTTTTTTTCTAAATTTTTTGTTTTTAAAAAACAATAATTATATCAATCGTTTTTCTTTAATATCCCTAAAATTCATACAAATATATTTAAAATCTTAGAACATAATCTTCTAAAATTATATTTTACAGTATATAAAATTTAATATAAATTCTATATTCATTATTTTATATTCAAGAAAGTAAAACTTTTATTTGTTCCTTTTCTTATTTATTTACATGTTATTATTATTTACATGTTTTCAAAAATTTACTTCACTATTAGATCTTTGAAGTATAATATTAAAATGAAGTATAATTTAAGATAAGATATAATCTAAGATTGTAATATGAATAAAAATATGCTTACAATATACATATTGACTAGTGTCTGAAATTAATCTAGGGAAAAGATCCAGCAGTTTGAGAATAGTATATTTCCACAAGTTAATGTAAGTCGTGAACTGCGGTCCATTTCGTAGGGAAGAGCCACCTGCGACTCTCATAGAATATCAATTAAACATATTTCCATGAAAATAATTTCGAAATGAAATGAAAGATGCATTCAAAAAATTCTTTTGTCATAAATTGTATATTTCGAACCACAACAGAATTCACGACGAAACTCCTTTAAAACAGATTCTTGGAAGTATAATTTCTCGTAAAAAGTTCGATCATTCTTTACAATAGGATAATTTTTTTAAAATTGGACCAAATAACTTGAGTTTATCTAAAAAAAAGGATTAATTTATTAGATGTGTAAAATTTAAAAAAAAATTGCAATTAGTTGAAATTGTAAAGAAAATAATAAATAATAAAAGATTTTTTTAGAATTTTTTATCTGTAATGAAAAGTTAAACGATAAATTTTATAAATTTATATCAATTATAAAAGAAAAGATAATAATGTAAAATTCAGATAAATATGAAACAATCTCTCGATGAAATATTAAATATCTGTAATTTTACAATGAAACGTGTTTGTAACAGAAAAAAAAAATGACATGAGAATATAGATGAACAAATTTCAAACATATTTAACCTTTTATTCTTTTTTTCTTTTATCATAGTTTGAACATTTCCATGAAATCAAAAATTTTTTTTCTAACTTTTATATCACTTTGTTTCTTCAATTATTCTATGATTTTTCAAATAAAGATAAAATTTCTTAATTAAATTAAATTTTCTTTTTCATTTTAGATATTGGAGAAAAATGTAGGATCAAGAATCAAGAATTAAAATCACTTTGCACTAGTTTTCGAAAAAAAATTTCACATTTCACATTCCACATTACCACATTAAACACATCAACCATTTTTTTTATGGAAAATAGAAATAGATAAAAGTGTTCTCATTTCTCAACTGTTCAGAGATTTGTAGATCGTAAGAAAAACAAAACAACACATTCACATGAAAGTATCGTGAAACAAGCTGGAAAAAAATTAACGAAAAGGAAAAGCGCGATAAAAAATTCTGCTAAAGACGAGTTTTCAACTTGTGCTGACCGATAGAAATGACCAAAGCATTATTTCTGTTCGGGATACCCGTTGACCCGTATTCCTATTCGCGAAGTCAACGGCAGACCAGCTTTCCTTTCGTCGATACTAGAATTTCTTGGCAGCGGTTTTCTTCCCAGCCACACAGGTCGCTCGATAATCTCGAAAAAAAAAACGCGACTGCTCGGGACGGCCAGTCTCGCATGGCTGATTAACTCGATATCCGAACAAGTATCGAATCCGTAACATGAAAATCGTTGTCGATCCACGAAATACTAGCCTCTTTACGTGTCACTAAACCCTAAGAGAACGTTTATCGGCTAGCTAGTTGATTCAGCCTCGGAAAATTTGAAAATGAAAGAATAGATACAAAAAATGCTCGAATTCCTTTGTTTAAACTGATAATCAAACGTGATTCGAATACACTTTCGTTTAATTTCTTTTTTATTCGTTATTTACTAAGAGGAATAGTTCCGCTAAATTAACAACTGATGGCGTGACGATCGAATTACATAGAAATTAGGCTAATAAGTTTCCTTTCTTTTATCCTTCTGTTTTCTTGTATCTTTGTGCAAAGAAGTATACATTGCGTGATATGATATCGTAGTGTGTTTAAAAATTTGCGTTTTTTTCCTCGGATTGTGCAATCGATATTTATATTATTATGTATGATTTCATACATTTTATTATTGATTCATATTATTATAACGTGACATTTATTATCTAGAATATTTGTTGTTTTGTGCCTTTTAACATTTCTTCCAGAATTTCCAAAGTTAAAATAATCATTTTTATCTTCCTGTATTTTTATCTTCTTGGTAAAGATTGAGATATCGTGTGTTTAATATGCAAATAAATCATTACTTGTGAAGACAAATTTCAATTTTCAATGTACGAAAAATATTTTATTCGAATATTTTATATATCATTAAATTTTGCTCGACAAATCTCATGCTCTGTTTGAAAAAGCTATACACATGTAATAAGAATTAAAAATAAATTTTGAGAATTATAAGAATAAGAATTAATAATAAATTTATAAATTATTGTAAACTTGGATGTTGTAATTATAATTTGAGTGATTAAAGATGTGAAATTTTAATAACATGGATAAGAAAATTTTAAAAATGAAAAATTGCAAATATAAATACAAATAAATGTGTTTTGCATAACGATTTTGATAAAAAAAAGTTTGGTAAGCAAAATTTACAAATTATAAAAAAGTTGAAAAGAATTTGAGATGAAAATTTGTCAATCTAAAATAACATTTTAGTAATAATATTTTAAGAACGTTATTCATGTATTCATTCATCGCATATAAATTTGATCGAATTAATTTGATTTAACATTTATGTTTATCGAATTCGTGTCTATTGATAATAAAACATTATTATTAATCATTTGATGCGTTCTTGTGAAACCCACATTACGATAACGAATGAAATTTTATCGTCGAAAGAGAATCAGATGCGCTCGTTCGTATCGACAATATGATCGATTTTCTCGCGTAAGGCGAGAAAAAATACGATATCTCGAGTAAAAGACGAACTGGAATAATCGATAAAGTTCTCGTAGCAATTTCAACGTGACGATGTTGAAAGAGGTGACTTGCACTGTAGCTTCTGAATAATTTGCGGTATATATTTTCCTTCATTATATATCATATTTTATATATATCATATTTTTTCCCGTTTTTTAATACAGTTCGTTATCGCGCGCACGAGTCACGTAATTGAATCGAAAAAGAATACCACCGATTATTCAACGCGGAAAAAATATATGTACGAAAGTTCTTTTAAACTCGTATCGATTTCACTTGCACAGTTTAATTAAGAACGTATGCGAGATTTGTACACGAGAGGAGTGTTTTAAATTCGTCTGGACTATTTTTTATGCAGTTTTCGGTCGGCTTTTAAAGCTGAACCTTTTATCGCGACGCGGTAGAAAAATTATTCGAATAAAAAAATATGTCACGGTGTGCGCCATTAAAATCAGAATTTCTTTCGAACGATAAATTCGATCACGAATAAACGACAATCATTATCGCGGTTTTTGATATCGGAGATACGTGCTGATTCGAAAAGTTTGAATCGAATAAGTTAATAATTAAATATCATTGTGAAGGAAAACGAATCATTCATACATTTTCTTATCCAAGATAAATAAAAATGATAATATTTCGAATTGAATACCGGAGTTTACGATTTATATATATATAATCATTGTTCTAAAGTAATCGATACACGAACTGGGCTAATGCATCAATACTATTATCACATAAAACAATCACTAGCGCGTCATGTACAAAATCAAAGCCAATCTGTCGAGCATAATGTCGTCCAGCGAAATATATGTGCCGCTTTTCATTGCGACTCGATCAGATAAACATTAACAATCAAAATCTGATGTGATAACGCGAACCTCTATTGTTCGTGCAACTCGGTTCCCCTGTTAATAATTTCATTCATATCGATGACACGATAAATTAGATTAACGTGATGTAATAAAAAAAAAAAAAATGTGAAATTATTTCTAATCAAGTCCCCTTATCATCTTATTGATTAATAATCATTTCGGTTCCAGGATAAGATAAACGTAATTAAGTTTACCAAGAAAAAAGAAAGGAGTAATAAAAGAAGAGTTTAGCTGTCCAAGAGAAATAACAGGAGTAGTTCGAAGCTGTTACTACCAACCTATCAGAGTGCACAACGCCGAATACACTTCACTTCCCCATAGATATTACATGTGCACGTATCTACTTGCAGTTATCTATGCCAGTGAATGTCATCCGACAGGAAGGTAATCCATAATCAGGCAATGCCTATATCCACTTGGCTACCTAATACCTAATAGATCCCGCTCGAAGTAGATAGCCTGTGAATTACCGGCAGAATGAGTATGTAGAGACATGTGCACGTCAGCCGGTGTTTCGTCGGGTAAAACTAGGTGAATCGACTGGAACTATCCGGCAATCTTCAAATTCATCTGATGGAAATAAACTGTAACCTTCAGAGTCTACGTGTTGCTAAGGATTTAAGGATAATCGTGTCAAGTTCTTTCTTATTAATATTTCAAATGCTTCATTTTATCTTCTTTTCTCTGTTTCAAGAGAAGGAGTCATTTCACTTTTTTTTAAAGAAGAGCTTGTAGAAACTGTTCTTAAGATTTTATCAAATCTTTTTTTTTTCTAATGAGACTTTTTTAATTTCTTTCAAATTTTTCTAAAGAAACAAATTTTTTTTATTAATTTATATTTTATAATTTCTTAAAATTAATATATATATATATATATTTGTAATTTAAATTAAATTTTATTTTAATATAATATGTAAGAAAAAAATAGAAGCAAAAAATATGATAAATTTTGATAATTTTATTCTTTATAAAGATAAAACAACTTTCAATGATCTATTTCAATCTAACATTTAAGAAAAACTTTTATATCAAATATTTATATTTATTTTTTTAAATATGAAAATCACAAAGCAATTTCAACCTATCAAAAGGAAATTTTGAATATCATCTATTCTTTTTTTTATCATTATTTTCTCATTCCCTTTCCAATTTTTCCTACATCGTTTCCTTCCTTTCATTTCTTATTAACTTTCCTCGGAAACAGCCGCTTCGAATCTCTCACGAATCTGTAAAAAAATTACTCTGATAATACTCCACCCTCGACCGCGAAAGATTAACCAAACAATTTTAAACATCCTGTTACCAACAGTTCAAAAGTGAGAACCCAGTGTGCCTAATCGTTAATTGGATCGAGATTCGAAAGAACGCATAAAGAGAACGATACGGTTCCCAAGGTTCTCGGTTAAAAACTCGATCCTCGTTATTTGAAAGGTGAGACGTACCGATCGTGCCTAATCTTTCGCCAAGGTGCACAAGCCAAGAAACTACATTGGTTGAAGCTCACGAACTGCAAACAAGCTCTGTTGCATCGTAAGTATTCCTTTACAGACAATGAGAAGGATGAAAGGAAAAAAAACGAGAGAGACAGAGAGAAAAGGAAAAAGGATTGCGAGACTATCTTGCATCGAGAATGGTTCGTAAAAATCAGTCGTAAAAATCAGTTTACAAAATTTACACGCGAGGGCAGTGTGTTTTTACGACTCACGAAGTTTATCGGTTGATCCGCACGCAATGCATTCTCGCGATACAAAGGTAAAAAAAAAA